ACTTATATGTTCACGCATTTATGTAAAGTGGGGCAGTCTGTTGGGGTCAAGTTGCTATATGTCTTCAAAAAATTGTTGAAGGTTCCTGTAGAAACATGGTTGGGATAACATGGTGATGCCTAGACGACTACTTGAAGACTGATTACGCAAGACCGAGGCCGAATAATAATAACGTTTTTTTAGGGGACAAAGGATGTATGGTCACATGACTCAGTTTAATTACGTCATAATCTCTGATAAAACAAGATTTAATCTACAGTTCTTGTATTGTTTTTTTACTGTTTATTAGCTGTCAACATCTTGTAAAGGAATATTTAAAACATCAAAACATTCTTGCAAATATTATTAAATTACGGGAAAAATATGATCCACTCTTCCATATATTATATAAACAGTGACTTGATCTGAAGGCCGTATCAGGTCGTGTCTACAGGCCTGGGTCATTAGATCAAAGAAGACGCGAAACTTCGAGTTTGATCTGATGATCCGCGCCACTCAACGAGACGTGATACGGGTCTTTGGATCAAATAACTGTTATAATGATAAATCTATTATGTACCCCTTTATAACTAGTTAAATATAGCAAATTAAATCTTTAGAAATCAATTGTATAATATTTATCTATAGAACAAAGCATAAAAACAATGGAGTTTTTCAAGCACAAAAAAATACGTCATGTGGTGATATGGATTAAGAAACCACAATGTGGTGATCCGGAAAGTCTGATCACGACGTCATGTGATTGCGTTTAATCTACAGTAAAATTGAGTGATACACATTAGGTATAATATAAAAAAAGTAGGAACAGATAAGACATGGACTTAAAAACATCAGAGGTGGGACTATGTGTCATGGAGGAGAGCATTGTTACAACTCAAAATGTAATAACGAGTGTTGGCAACAAGTACCCGGATGACCGACTAACCGTCGAACGTTTCGAGTATCGGTTAGTAAAACTGCTATTTGGTTACTCGATAAAATAAATTCTACATAGAAAATGAATGTTTTATAATTTATAAATGTATACTATAACTTACACATTTCCCTAATTTTAGGTACCTTTAGACTTGATGTAGTGCATGGTTGTAGTGAATCTAATTGTTTTGATTAGTTTTCACAGTTTATATAATTGATAGCTTTGATTGCTTGGGGCATACATATTTTGAAGGCCTGAGTTATAATTACCTGATTTGATAATTTAAAAAACGAGATGCCGCCGCAGACATAATAAGCTTGGAGTTGTAACAAAAGAACAGCTGATTCAAAATCTGTTAAATCACCTATGCTTAAATTATTCGGAAACCAGCGATTTACTGGACACTCCACATATTAACTATTAATTACGAAGTATGTAAATAATTATTCTCTTTGATTGCAAAAAAGAAAGCGTAAAATGGTGATTGACGATGACGTATTTATCTGTCCTCTTTGTAAGCAGAATTCCCTCTTAATTTTCCTTATTTCAAAATCGTAAATCTTTGACGATATATAATGTCCCTATACAGTATATTTGTGCATTACTACTACTACCGATAAATATAGAATAAGACAAATAATAGATATTGATACTTTTACCAAAAATCATCCGAGTAACCGGGTACTCGATCGGAAGATGAATCGAGTAACCGGTTACTAAAATCGTCCGATTTGCCAACACTAGTAATTACAAATCAAAATGTAATAAACTGGAATTAAAACAATTTGCATTGTTACATACTGCGTCGAAATCAACGAAGAATGTGAAAGGGAAAAAATAAATACTGTAAAGTCACATGTTTTCGTGGGGTCATATTTTCGAGGTTTGAGGAAAAAATATAAGTTTGTGAAGATTTGATTTCGTGGTTAGAGAACGTTTAGTTGTAGTGCATGTGTTTTTTTTTTACCTTCCTTTAAATTTCTTGGTGATCAAGAATTCGTGGGTCTTTCCATGCCTCTCGAAACAACGAAAATGAACCCCCCACGAAAATTAGTGATTTCACAGCATGCTGATAGATTTAAAAATGCATTAATTTCATTGGCTGCATGTATTTGAAATCAGTTTAATATTCAAATGATATGTGTTGCAAATTAAAAACGTGTTAGGAAGTGGGGGTGGGGTAATTTTGTTGGCCAGGCCATCTCCAGAGAATTGTTTGGTAGTCCTCTCCCGATTCGCTCTTATAATATTGGGTCGGTATGTAGGCATGGATTTTTTTTTCTCAGAAAAATCGATTTCAATGCTAACTTTTTTCAATTCTATTTTTCAGATTTATTTTCAAAAAATCACTTGCTTCTGAGGTTAAAATGTTTTGAGTTGGGTCATTTTAGCTAATCGATCAGGAAAGGGCATCCAAACATTTTTTAAAGATAACACCAGTTTGTTTTTTTCATTTTTGATAGAAAAATGGTACGAAAATTTAAAAAAAATCTTTTAATTTGGACTGGTAAGTGTACAAAAAATTAGCCGAGAGGGTGTTTATGGATAATAATTATTCCATAGTGTTTTATAAATCATGTGCATTGTAGACAAGCAAACACAAAATTATCTCTCTCTTCAATAATAACACAGATTGTGTGTTTCTTCATGTCTATAATAGTACAATAATCAACATACGAAGTACAAACTCCACCCCATAAATTCCCTCGACAAACACACACATACATGAACATAATGTAAAGGGTCACGCTCATTATCTATCAATTATAACGGCCGGTGTCTCTGAATTCTGATCTGTTTTGGTTTCCCCGAAACATTTAAATTTCTACGTCAGCGTGAGTTTTTATCCGCCAATGAGCGCGGCCCTTTACATTACTGGTCACCTGTCTGTATATCGAGGATCAGACATGAAGGCCAGTCTATGCTCAGACTGGATAACATGTGTAAACTTCCGGAACATTTCGTGTATATACCCAAAACCGATAAATGATTACTGTATATTAAACCAATAAAATCCTTCGTGACAAACCAAAATAAACAATCCCTGGGATACAATACAAATGAGAAGTTATACAACACAAATGGTAAGTATAAAATACAAATAAAAAATTATACAATGCAAATGATTTTTTTTTTACAATATCAATGAAAAATATACAATGAAAATGAAAAATTATACAATGCAAATGGTAAATTATAGAATACAAATGTAAAAATTATACTATGCAAATAAAAATTATTCGATACAAATGAAAAAATATACAATACAAATGGATAATTAAAAAAAAAATAAAAAAAAAAAGATATACAATACAAATGGGAAATTTTACAACATAAATGGGAAAGATCAAATATTGCGACGTTTGACTTGCAATAAGCTTGGTTATCAAGTCTCATATTTTTCAAGTAAAATATCTAAAAATGAAACGGATGTGTTGGACTCTGTGGTATCCTCTATCTCAAGGTCACTGGGATATATCGTACCGACATAAGAAAACAAAGTACCATTGTTAATTGACAATACGTCGTCTATATACTAGTATCTAAATGTCGAGTTAAAGGCCATGGTAAGTGCTTTTGTTTAAAGAAACAAAATAATTTCATTGGTAGATCTGCGCAAGCCGATGTGCATGACTTATTTTTGACCAGTTTGACACACAGAACCTTATAATTTTTAGGCGACAAATAATAATGATTCTAGATACTGAGTAAGAAATAAATAATGCAAAAATGCTCACATTTGTGTATTTATTGAAAGAATCAATATCAGTATAAATGTCAAAGGTCTGTTCATACTTCAACTTATTTTGACCTGATCATCATCTGAGACCGTTTTAATGCCTCAGAGTCTTTCCATTTTCTCCATACCATGTATTCATAACCAGACGATGTGGACTGTGCATACTGTCCGTTAAGGTTGGCGATGTGACAGTATTTGTACCACCAGGCCCCGTGCCATCTTATAGCACAGTTACCAACGCCCCCATCATTGTCCTGGTCTTTAGTAGTAAATTTCATACCATTGTGATGAGCCAAACTGTCTCCTAGAACATTTAAATGAAAAACATTATGAAAAACAAGTCTATTAATTTTGAATAACGTAATGTTACAGTTACGGCCATTATAGTCATCAGAGTCCAGGTCATCAGTGTTATGTTATATACAGTTTAATGAGTCATTTTCTGTTATCTTTATCGAAATTGATAATGCACGTATATAAATGGTATTTTAGCAAATATACCTGCAAATACCATATATATCATATCGATATTGATTCTGATATAAATATTTTTAAAAAGTTATAAAATAACTAGTAAACTTATTCTTCACAGAACAATAAGAGGTCTGTTCCCTTTCTTCGAATTTTAATTTTCTTTCATATTGAAGATTTTAAAATAAAAGTTCATTTAAAGAAACAAGAAGCGACTAAAAAGTTTAAAAAGAATGAATCTTTTTTTTTTTTTTTAAATTGAAAATGACTTTGACCTTGATGAAATATTTAAGGTCAACGAACAAGGGTCACATTGCAATTAACCCAATGCCCCTACGACATATAGTTCTAAAGTTATAAGGTTTAATCTTTAGAGCAAAGACGTTAAATGGTGATGAATCATATAAAGGGTAATCAGATCATTTAAACTGAAACAAAAAAATTGTACATAAAGCCCCTTTAAGGCAGAGGTTTTTTAACGGGTGGTAAATTACGGGTGAGGAAAGGGCTTATTTTGTACAGGTGTAATGCCTTGGGGGGGGGGGGGGCTAGCAGTCTACCACAATGCTATAATACAAAGTACATTAAATAATCACAATTTTCATCGCAGCATTCATTGAGAGATAGAGAGTGAAAGAGGGAAAAAGAGATGATGTTATATAAGAAAGTGGGTGATAAATAATATAGGTAGCAAAACTAGTTTTAAGGCATGGTTCATTGATGTTAATCTGAACGTATGGAGCGCCGTTTTCATTCATTCAGAAAACCATGAATAGAGAAGCTGAGGTATTGACAACAAACTCTGTAAATATATTACTTCATTGACATCAGCAACATATACAGATTAAATATAAAAATTTTACAATCTAGAATTAATACAATGACAATACGATTTTGGTGACACTGTCAAACAAAACCATCTAGAAATTGGTTTACAACAGGACATTGCCAAATTAAATTATGTATTGTTTCTTCCTCTGCTGTTCTAAACTTAATCACTAACAGTCATGTTTACTTTAGATTTACTGTATTCTAATATTAAAGTCAAAAATCAAGATTTCATTCGGAAAAAAATTGTACCAAAGTTTAATTTTTAAAATATGTATTATATTACAATCCTTTTAAAATACATGTACTAAAGATATATTTAATTCATATACTATCAAGCTACAAATTTTCATAGTGATACAGTTTCTTTATATCACGTTCGGTAAACATCAGAGGATCAAAAGTTAATTTGAAGGTCTCCAAGAGTGCAAAACAAGGTGTACAGGGACCAGAAAGTTAATGCAAATCTAGTTCTAGCATCCAATGATAGACGTTCATGCACTTGATTGACAGGGATACCCAGACTATGCATTTTTGAAGTCGGCGCGTAAAACCTCTGCCTTCAAGACACTAGTGAAGGTTTCATATTTCTGTGGTCTACGATTGCAAAGGAGTAGCGATAACATTTTTTTCACACAAGGGGTTATAACTTTTAAAAGGTTCAATCTTAGAGGACAAGAATGAATTCGAAATGTTAGAAAGACATTAGAGATATAACAGGATTTCAATTTCTCAGTTTTTAGAATGATCTTATCCTTTGACCTTTAAATTAATTGCAGGATCAAAGGTCAATGAATCTTATGCAGTTGGTCCCATGTCTCCATGATTTCACATTTTGATTTTTCAATTTTTCGTAAAATTCAAAAATTTCCAGGGGCAATAACTCATTAAAAGGGGTCAAAAAAATCTTTTGTAATGATCAATGACACAAGAACTTGATTCGTTAAAGACTTTAATGAAGGTTTTGTACCTCTGCGGTTTACAATGGAGTAGTGATAACAAGGTTTTTCGTATATGGGGCGAGGACTCCGAAAGGGGTCATAAGTCATACTCATTGGGTAATTTTTCAAAATAACTTTTGATATTAAGAGTCAAGAATTAAATTGCTTTTCGATAAGTCTTTCGGTTCAAAAGGCCATAACCGAAAATTGATAATAAACACTAGCATTTCAAGAGGTCTTTGCATGGGACAAGGAAAGACCTAATTATACAAGGCAAGAGTCGGTATAGATTTATATTGGCACGAATAATAATGTAAAATGACAAACATAGGTGAGTAACTGTTGTTGCATTATGTTATATTAAGAGTAAGGATTTATTGTAGGGTAAAAATTAGAAAATCATTATATTTTTTAATAATCGTGATGCGATATCGAAATGATATCGACGGTAAGGCCAGCTTATGATATGAAAGTCCATGCTTACAAGTATTGCAAAAAAAATACGGCCACAAAAGTTATGACAAAAATTATTCGATATCGACACGATTTCTTGAGTATTAATAATAATGAATATTTAGTAAAGCAGAAAGTATTCTATTATATGCCGGGTATAAAGGTTTTTTTTTAATTAATCTATAAAAAAGTAATTCTGTCGATATTGTTACTACATCATGTCTTGAACAATGACAAATCAAATTACTAACCCGCTGTTCCGCTGTATCCTGCCACTGTCAGTCTATATTTATTGTCTTCATCTCCGATGTAAAATGTAGAATACACAGCGTAGGCCTTGTTTCCGTTATGCCTCTGGAGATCAATTCGGAGTTCTTGGTTTTTATCCTTTGTTAAGGTGTAGATTGCATCATTTCCTTTGAAAAATGTTTTGTATATTCGAAAATTAACAAACCTGAAAACTTCCATATTTTTCATTTTTATTTTATGTTTTTTTTTCACCGAATTCTATTGCAAAACAACTGTCTGTCTATCATATAATATAAATGGACTTTATCGGTTCTAAAATGTCTATAAAATATTATACATATCGTGGTTCTTGATTTGTATCCTTTGCTTACGTATGGATTGTGTCATCCCCCCTGTTTTCAGATTTATATTACCGGATCATACATATCAGTCAACCGGTGATGCACATTACTAGCTAGGTATCGTTCCGAACCCTGTCACTAAAACCTATGAAACTAATATTTCCTACCTATCCAATAATTCTTCGTGGCATTCCCAAATCCTTCTTTATACTCAATCCATGTCCTGTAAAAATCGACGTCACCATCCTGTCGTTTCTGAATGACCTGTAAACAGCGATTGGTATTTTTTAGTTTGTTTTCTTTAAAAATAAACTCCGATCACTATGTGTTCTGAAAAGTTCCAAGCTAGAAGAGTCACTATTAATCATTTTATACAAATGAACTAAGTGACAAAACTTGGTAATGCAGAAGTGCTTGCACATCAATGATTATCATTGTGTAAAACGGTTAAAGAAACAGACCTAAAACAGAAACTTGTGGGAGGTTTGTTCTATTGCACTGAGTACCGTAGATCTCTGAATCACACTAAAACTGCCCTTTATTGTCATGTTTGTGTCTGCCCCTCAAAGTCTGGTTTATGCTTTATTCAAGATTAAAGGTGGCGTTTCGGATGAAATTATTTATTTACATGCTCAGGCATGTAGACCTCGTCACACTCAGAAAATAGGCCTACTGCCATCATGATAATATTTTGTTTAATTTATTTTCATGAAAAGCCCTTACATCTGAAATTGCCAAAGAATTTTATACAATTGAAGTTGAAATAGCTAATAAAAAGAAATTTTAAGGTTTATTCAATAACCATTAAACCATTAACCATTAAAAAGTTAAACACTACTGACTATTCACCCCCGCCAATTCGTCGTCATGTCACAGTAGACAGTAGACAGGTGTCGTCGATGTTTAACAATGAAAATAAAACACACTACTCACCGTCCACCCTCCTCCATCTGTCGTCATGTCACAGTAGACCTCTCTCCAAGTGTTGTCGATGTATAACATTGACAATAAAACACACTACTCACCGTCCATCCTCCTTCTTCTGTCGTCATGTCACAATAGACCTCTCTTCGAGTGTCAGGGTAAATAACACACACGCCATCTTGTCCTTTCCTACTGGGGTTTCTTTTTAAAATCTCTGAACAGTCACTGTATATTTTTTCTATTGAATGTAAAGAAAAAAATCATTTATCAGTCAATCTGTTCATTCAACTGTTTGTACAACATACAAGACTTTGGAAAAGCTGAATTGAAAATCTTCTAGTGTTGTTTACAGAAGAGAATGTAATTTGTAAGAACGTGTTGATTTTTGAAAAAAGCAATGGAAGAGCATATAAATGAATATCAGGTCATAGATTTCAAATAAAAATGGGGACCAACAGGTTTTATACAAGAATGTTAATTCTTATGATCATTCTATTTTGTCACTCAAAGTTTGAATTCTAGAAAGAATATGTATTGCCACCATATATCAATAGTCCCTCACTGAGAATACCTTTCCGTATACAACAAGAAGAATTTTGGATAAGAAAACTTGGAACAACTATTTCCTATGATAATGACAATGTCGATACTGTTGGAAATCTTTTTACATTATAACAATGTTAATGTGATGGGGGTTTTTAATCATACACAGAGACGCAAGCGGGCATCGGTTTTTCAATGAAGGATATGGAACGCACAGTATTCAATATCAAAGTCCATAAAACAAAACTTAAATTGGAAGCGAGCTGCCAAGGACCTCTTAAATATTAGAGACGGGATCAGGTGGTACGGAGGAGTGAGGATCCCCCCTGCCGACCGATCACATCCGACGTGTGCTCCTTGTCACCATCAATTCAGTGGATAATAATTGATTAACAATTGGTATGAAAAACGTCAGTCAGTATTTGACTCAATGATAAACTATATTCGCTGACAAGTTCATTGTATCGAGCATAGACCGTACGAAATGATGACTTTGAACAAGACAGCAGATATTTTTGTTTCATCAACTTGCTTGTCAGTTGTTGATAACCAACTGTTAGATCTACATCAAAATCGCACCAAACTTTACTCTGTCCCTTTGAAACTAATGAAAACTCTCAAAACGCACAAATGTATTACATAACAAAGGCCTACGTTCTTTAACACATGTAACCACATTATCATCTTAGCTCTAAATTTTTTTTCCTAAGATTTTCCTACACAGGAAAAAGAATTTTAATAACAGAATGTCTTAAGAGTTAAAAAAATATACGCCTATGTGTGTAAAGGAAATTGATTGCATTCATTCATTAATGATTGCAGAAACCCCCTGATTTTTCTGCATTTTCGTTTCAAAACTCCTTGATGAATAGCTAGAGTATTTCATTCTTGAACTGATTTTTCACTCTATAATCATCTAAGTATATTTTCATTGTCTTCTGCACTAACTTACCTTGATTAATTTGATAAATAAATATGGAGTGGAATGTCAAAACATGTATTATGAAAACAAGAGCTTTAATTCTTTAATACAAGTTAACTCATTAACAAATTAGCTCTAAATCTTCTTATAGATTTTTACGAAGGAAAAAATTGTAATTACAGCCTGTCTGGAGAGCTGCGTTTCGTTAAAGACAATTTGATAGCATTAACTAAGACTAAGAAACACCAAGGAAATGAAATACTAACAAGTTCAGTGTAAGGTCAAGAATGGGGTTAATTGCTTTGAAAATACAATTTAATAGTTTCAAATAAAAAATTCATTTGCAAATAAAATATACGTACAATTGATTTTTAATAACTAATTGATTATGAATAAGGATGTTTTTCTATATACATTTCTATTGCAGACCCATATTTAATTTTTTTCCAAAATTTAAATGTCTATAAATTTTAGGGATATAGTTAAAAATAAATATTATCCGGCGTGTGGGGTTGGGTGTTTTATCTTCAGAAAACCTATTCATATATAAGATGTTTCTTTAAGATGAAACTGGATAAATTCTTTTTATTAATATTTTTATTTCTTGTTTATTTATTTTAAATTTGCATTTTTCAATTGTTTTACTTATAATCATGTTTATAGAATCATGAAGGTAAAATAATCAGTCATTGACTTTTTATAGACCTAATTTTTTAACGTATGGTTACTAGTACCTGAGGAGGGGGAGTGGTAGGAGTAACAGTGGTGTTATTTACCTGGATACCCTCAATACCATAGATTGCAAAGATCTATATACAAATACCATTACACAGGAAGTCTCTTTTAGTAATCAGGGTAAACATTACGTGTTTTGTGTTTAGTTTTGAGTGAAACTACGTAAACAAATTATTATAATATGAATTTTTTTTTTAAACTAAACGCATTCATCGTAATATTTTGAGGGGAAAAAGAAATACAGAGATATATATCGTTTTAAAAATTGTTTTCGTTAAATTAAAGAAAAATCACGAGTAAAACTACGAAGCAATAATATCTATTTATTCTTTTATCTTCAATAAAAGAAATCACCATGATTAAAAAGTCTGAATATTGAAATAAAAAAAAAAATAATTATTCCATTTATCCGTCGTGCATGTGAACATTTCGATCGGGATCGGAAAAGGTTTTTTTGGGGGGTCAACAATGATGTCCAAAATATACAATTTTTTCGATTGTCCGTTTGTTAACAAAATTTTATTGTAAGAAAGATCTCTTTTCAGAATCGATCACTATTAACTAGATCTATCTTCACCTTTTCATTACGAATATAGACAGACGCTAGAGGAAATTCAATTATTAATTTTTGCATAAATTACAGAACTACATCGTGAAGATTGTAGCCATTTTACAAAATAAAACATCCTTTTAAAACTATGGCGTTAACTATTGCAAAATATTTCTTACATAACAATTCTGTAAAAAATAATTTTAATCGTTGGACGTCCAATTACGGCAAATAAAGGGGATTTTCTGTGAACGGTCTTTTTTCTACAGGTATCGTGGACGATATAACTTTTTTTTATGTTTTTATAATCTACTTTTAATTATTTTTTTAAAAATAAAATTCAAACATATTGGAGTTTATCTAACCAGCGTGTATACAAGGTGGGTACATGAAAGTGTTTGGCGTGCGACAATGTAATTGCCTTCAAAACATACAAACTCAGATTATCAGGTAACACAGATAGCTGATCTGTCAATCAAATTAGAAGCTTTTGTTTTTCAATGATTGACAGGCGGTAAATTATTGATCTTGAATCGGGTAGATTTTGGGGGCAATAACATAAAATTGGGTATTTAAGCGGCGGTTAGCGTTTCCGCCTATCGCTTTATGGCACGTAACCAATTTTTAACGCAATTTTTATCGCTATCGGAAACTTCCTTAAGGCTCTACCTATCGACAGCGGAAACTTCAACAAAGCGCTACCTATGATTTGTTTACTATTACTCGGCGTAATATGCCATCTGGTGATTGACAAAATGCAGTGTACATGTATCTGTGTGTGAAGAGTGGCTATTATGCCGGATTCTTATTAGTAACATTATATACCACAATATTGAAAATACTTAGAACAATAACTTCAAAGACCTAGGAATTAGGTACCTATTATAAACTCGGCAAATACTGCGATCGCGATGTCTAGTAACTTTTAGTTTATTCTGAAAGTTGAACTATATGCATTTATTATACAGCACCCCACATGAACAATAAATATTTGACCAAATTATACTATTGGGCACTAGACGGACAGGTTCATTGCTGACTAGAGGGATTGAAGGTTAACGACTGCATTACATCGACGAATCTGTCGATCGAGTTTGATTTTCCTTGCCAAAGTATTAAGGCATACCTTTTATTAAATTAAGTTATACACGAAAAAAATATGACCTATTTTTAGTGTACATTTGAATTAAATAAAAACAGATTTTGATGGATTGGACAAATTTTCTTTTCACACGTTTTATTTGATATCAATTTTGCATGGATAGAATGAGTATGTACCAAAAACTTAGCATATCTCCCCATATACATATTGTGGAAGACTTCATAATTCATAATATTTATAAACAGAATTACTCAGTATCAGTATCAAAATACAGAATGATCGGTCTAAAAGAAAAACGGACCCCTGAAAGTTTCGGTGCATGGGAGGAGCAAGAATCTCTGTTGACAGGTCACACCCGCAGTGAGCCAAACTAAAACTCTCTGAATTTAATTTATTTACCAATTCTCTTTTTTCTCAGACTAGCCAGCCAAAGATCTACAGTGTTCCAAGTCTATTAATTTAAAGAATTTTGAACAAACTTGAATCTTCAATACCAGAGGACGCTTCTACATGAGTTTCATCTTTCCTGTCCCAGTGGTTCTTGAAAAGAAGACTTTTAAAGATTTTTCCCATGCATTCTTATGTTAAACTTTAATACCATTTTGTATTAATATTATATCCTTCCATCGGGGGTAATAATTTGAATGGCTAGGAAAAAGAAGAAATCAGTTTACTATTGAAAAGTTTAGATTCAAAAGTTAGGCCCCGCCCTACCCCCGGGGTCATAATTTGAACAAACTTGAATTTACACTACCTGAGGATGCATCCATATAAATATGAGCAATTATGGCTTTGCTATTCTTGAGAAGATTTTTAAAGAGTTTTCCTATATATTTCTATATAAAACTTTGGTCGGCCATTATGCACCCCCTACCCCCGGGGTCATGATTTGAACAAACTTGAGAATGCTTCCATATAAATATGAGCAATTATGGCGTCTCTGTTCTTGAGCAGAAGATTTTAAAAGAATTTTCCTATATATTTCTATATAAAAATTTGGTCGTCAATTGTTGCCCCGCCCTACCCCCGGGGTCATGATTTGAATATTTTTGAATTTACAATACCTGAGGATATTTCCCTATAAGTTTTATCTTTCCTGGCACAGTAGTTCTTGAGAAGAAGAGTTTTAAAACATACCACCAAATTTTCACTAATTCTCAATTATCTCCTGTTGAATGAGGGTGTGGCCCCTTATTTGAATAAACTTGAATTCCCTAGACCCGAGGAAGCTTTGTTGCAAGTTTGGTTGAAATTGGCTTAGAGGTTCTTGAGAAGAAGTCGAAAATATGAAAAGTTTACGGACAGACAGACAGAGGGACAGACAGACAGAGGGACATACGGACAGACGGACGGACGGACAGACAGACGGAGAGACGGACGCCGGAC